TTTTTTATATATATATATATATATATATATATATATATATATATATATATATATATATATATATGTATAAATAAATACATGCGTATGCGTATGAATTTTTACAAAATTTCATTAATAAGGAAAAGAAAGTCCTCAGCATTTTAGCGAAAATATATCTCTTAGCGAAAGCTTTTTTCTATTTTTCATCATATCTGTTTTATCAATCGAGAGAGAAAATATCGCTTGTTTTAAAATGAAATTTGAATCCCGAATGAACCCTACGTTATTGTTTTTTATTTATTTATTTATTTATTTGTTTTTTTTTTTTTTTTTTTTTAAGACAATAAGCAATTACTGCTTGATGTGTAACAAATTGCGTCTAAACTTATACTATACTATTGTATCACCAAAAACGTTCATATAATTGCGCTCAACGCCTGTATGGGCTAATTGCATTAAACAATCTGTACAGTCTGTTATTTCATTTACTGTACATTTTCCCCATTAAACGTAAGTAGTAAATGTTATGTTGAAAATGACAGCGAAATGTAAAGATAGTATGTATTTGTGACTTTAACTTTACAGGGCTCTCTCTCGCTCTCTCTCTCCCTTCATTACAATTAACATATAATAAAGTTTAGTGTGTGTGATATGCTTTCTATCTCGAAACGCTCGTCATAACTTTAGCTCATATTATGGCACAAATCCCAGGATTGTAGGGAACATTTTATTTAATATATAACGCGTATATAATATTTGCATATTAATTTTCTCTTCATTTCTTGACTTTAGTTACATTTGTTTTTCTTGTTTTTTTCTTATTGCAATCACAGCGAAATTCGATGAGCATATGTAGAAAATGTTAATTATGCCCACTTTACAATTATTTTTCTATGCAATGCTTTAAAGCAAATCTTGGCTACGTATTGCCCCAAATTATGATATGAAAAGTTTCAAAGTATTTTATTATTTCCGGACATGCTAATAGACCGATTAGTATTGCTTTTGCGCCGGATCTTCAAATAACGTAATGATGAATGTACAAAAATTACAAATTATGCGTATATGTATGCGTGTGTGTGTGTGTGTGTGTGCACTTTATCGACAATAGACTGATAGAGGTTATTTTTGCACTGAACTCATCAAATCAGTAAATATCATTATCCACTCTATAGTCCATAGATTTGAATTTCTTTCTAACTTTTCTCAATATTTCCAGTTTTGGGCATTTAAACGATGAAAATAATGAAGGGCATCGCAGATAGGCGGACATACATAAATTAATTCACAAGTTAGGCAGCCTTTCAATGCAAAAATATACTTTTATTTGAGCGGTGAGACTGAGATTGAGACCCTCATGACTAATTGCCTAATAATGTAGAATTTTAAAGCAGACATTTTGTAATTTTTATTTATTTATTAATTTTTTTACAACCAATTTCATAGCTGATCTAACCCAAATTTCAGGTTTCTATTCTATAAAGTTTTTTTTTATAAAGTTTTAATAACATACGGAGATTGATGGAGAAATAGAGAAATACAGCTGAATGGACCTAAAATCATATATCTTCGAATTCTCGATATTTATTTAAAATACTCCCTACCTTCTCCCATTGTGAGTGTAAAAAGTTAAAAAAATCGTGAATATCCATTAACCATATTCAGTTTGTGCGGATATATGTAACAAACGGAAGAATTTGACATGGACCCATATTTTATTGTACCGATTGATTCAGAATTATTTACCGAATCGATCTAAGCTTGCTTGCCCTCTTTCCGTATGTTCGTCTGTTTGTCTTGTTTTTTGCAATTTTTGAGAAACTTGATGGACTGACATATTTTTTTTGACCCATGGACATACCCTATTGCACCCTATTATTTGAATCGGACCACTTATTCAACCACTCCCCACATAACTAACGCCTTATTTTGAAAAGTCAGTTTATGAATAAGTATAGGATGGTGGAATGTATTTAATGTTGCGTCATAACTCACTGTTGCACTTTCACTTGTTTCCTTTAATTAAGCCGACCTTAGTTGAAGCTTTGCTTAATTTTTGTTTGGATATTGTTGTTGTGCTTACTATAGATTAGTTGAAAAAGCGATCCTGTTACTTTGTGGCCCTATTCAATAACGTATATGTAAACCTCAGTGCTTTATATGTACTTGAATCGTATGCGCTAGCCCTATATGACGTTTTACTGTCAACTGATATCTTGAGAAAGTGATGACACTGAAATATTAAACAAAAATAAATGCAATTAAAATAATAATAAACTACGATAGAGAATAATATCAGACGAGCTGAAAAATTGACGACTATTTTGCAAGATAATGGTTATCCTATACCTTTTTACATTTCGATACCTAAGATTGCCTTGATTCTTTCATAATAGCCAGCAGTTGATTGATTGAAATTGTTTGTTCTGTGTACATCATTCTCATTTTTAAATCTCTAAATTATATCCGAATTAGTGATCTGTGCCTGGCCATGAATATATATAAAAGTGAAAGAGTCGTTTATGAGAGACACCACCGACAAGTAATCTATGTAAAGTAACTGTAAAATTACAATTTCTTAGGCTAGCTATGGCTGATTACTAAGCACTATCAATTAATTCAGAGCGTTTCGGGATAACTGCAGGTATTTTATAGACATATCAATGCCTTTAGTTCGAGTAATTCATTAATCAATTCTATTCGCAAACAGAAAAATGAAAAAATAATAGCGAGGGAAGAGAGAAAAACAAAGCCAAGCATTCAAGTCAAGCCAAGCCGCAAATGGAGACTATCATACTCGGCTACTCTCTCACGCTCATAAATGCGTTGACTCACTCATGCGTTGACATTTGACAACGACAATGATGTCAAATTTTGACCAAAAGTACATATACGGGAAGAACAACGCAATGTAAAGAAATTATAAGATGCAGAGGGAGGGACAGATATGGCTAAATCAATCGAGTACTTGATATTTTTAAACATTATATATGCTTTAAATCTATGAAGCTTCGCGCTGAGTGCTGGAATGGTTTCGAAAAAATGCATATACCACTAGTCCTCGGCGATGGGCTCGGGCTTGAACTGAATTCTCTTATACACACCGTTAAGGTGAAGATCTATAAATTAAGTTATTATAACAGATTCTTAGAGATTATTGTATACAATTTTTTCTGACGATTCGCCCATTGAGCTTGAAATGTTAATCGGAGAATTTTGACAAGATTATTATGCCGCCGTGTAAAAAGCAGTACTTCGAAGTTGACACTTAAAAGTTTAAAGGTGTCTTCACAATTCCGCGTTGTTTTTAAAAAGTCTGAAAAAAAGCCCTTTTACTTAACTTTAAGCTCAACACAGACACATTTTTTTGTAAGAACATTTGCGCGCGGATGGAGCGAATCGCATAAATTGTGCATTCCGCCCAAATTTTGCGAAATACCGTAATTGCTTTTCAGCAATTTTTATCGAGAAATATTAAAAATATGCAAACCTACAGCGATATATATGAGAAGATTTCTGAGCAGTAATCCAACCCAGCTTATTTTCAATAGGTTACATCCTTGTGTCAAGGCATGTAAATGTATTAAATTTCATCAAAAATTTCCCCAACCAATAAGTATGATTCAAGCTTAACGCACTCTTTACCGTACTCGATGTATGGTATAAGAGTTCTAATTGTAGGCCATAAGGCTCCAGAACAGACCCTTTTTAATATATAATAAGATTAAGTTTATGCAAATGTACTCAAAAGCATCAACGACTTGAGTTAGACTCATCTTTTATTGTATCGATCGGTTCAGAATCATTATATGGATTGATTTAACCTGTTCTGTCCGCATATGCATATGTTACGGCTATTCATGTATTTTTCTATTCAATGTTTTGGGGATTTACGCCCAAAAACGAGTGCCACAATAAGATGGATTGGATGGGATTATTTTTACGGCCACCCTTTCTATAACCCAGCATTGAAAAACGGTCCTTAAATTTTAACACTTTGATCTTCACCATCCATATAAGCGCTCTAATGAAAAGTAAGTTAACTTAACATGCCAACAATATCTAAGTTCTAGTATTTCGTACCGAAAATAAGACAAGATAGTGTAAGATATTTCATAGTCGGCCTAGATCGTCTATAACATTTTCTTTTATTCAGATTTACATATGTCAAGAAATGAAAAATTTTAAATACAAATTTAGTTCAAAGGAGCATCAAAAAAAAAAAATATGAAGTGAAAATTAAAAAATCCAAAAAAATTGGATTCAGTAAACAAATAATTCATATTTCATAGAATAAATGAAAGAAAGCTCAGAGCTTAAAAAAGTTTCTTTAGAGAAAAAAAACCAAATATTGGATTCGATCTTCTGAAAGTATTCCGAATTTTACTAATCAAAAATTGGTTTCTAAAAATGATGACAAAAAAAGTCTCATCCTTTCGGTCAGGCACTTCGAATACCTGTAACGTGAAACTGTGTATGAAAAGTGGAAATAATTTTGTTAAATATAAGCTTATTAATTTATAAACCAATACCATTTCGAAAGCGAAGAGTGGGCTTGGTAAATATTTACGGGGAATTTTAGATCGGCTTTTGGTTTTAAGATATTGATCAAAATTTCGCACCATTATCTTCTACGCTTTGCAAACGAGAAGAAACTTGGATTATTGAGCTGAAATTGGTAGTGGGTTACTAATTAATGCGCCCGTTTGTGACATATTATCACCTTTTTTAAAGTTTTGGGAAAAAAAACCGAAAGAAAAAAAGCGTTATTTTCATATATTTATGTAAGTGTATAACTTGCAAACACTCTTTCAAAAAAAGTTTTTTAAATGCAATTTTCCTGCAGAAGAATTTTCAATATCTTTTATTCGAAATATTCTTTAACAATATTTTCGATAAAATCGTGCACATCCCTAGCGATAGCGAGCACATCCCTGGCGATGTAAATTACACAAGAACTATCATCACTTAGATTAGAAAGGAATGAAGAGAAAGAAAACAAAGTAGAATGGTGCAAAAGAATAAAAAATAACAATAAAATTCTATTCACGAAAAGTTTATTTTGGGAGAAACGGGGAAATGGCAGCGTATTCAGATAGTTCTGCGAGCGAAAAACCACATATAACAGTCGTTCGACCAAAGTTTTTACAAACTGTGGAGAAATCGAATAACATCGACGCCAGTAGCAGTAACAATGATGATAGCGAAACGCCCATATTTAGCAAACGTAAAATCATGCTACGAATACCAGATCAATATAAAGGAGATTTTATGCACTTAACAGTCTCAAAAAACTGGTTAGTGTGTCTTTTAGCTGCTCCTGCACCTGCAACTCAAATAACACTATTGCGTTTCTTTTTGCTTAGAGCTTTGCCACCGGGAGGTATGGATTTAATGAAACTTCGTTTCAAATTATATTAATTGAGAAAATAAAGTAATGCTTTTTTATTTACAAATTTTCCAGCAATCGCCTTAGAAAAATATCTAGCTGGGTATAAAATTGCAAATTTATTTTTGGATTATACTGGACATCATATGCTAATCAGTTTAACACCGAAATCTCCGGGCTTATTAGCTGACTTCCTATATATTCATGCCACTGGTCCAAAAGTACGTCGTATTGAGAAATTTAAAGATCATGAAATTACATCGGTTGCTTTTAACAGAGAATATGGTACAGAATCGTCCACAGGTCCTATATTATTGGGAACAAATCGAGGTCTAATATTTGAAACCGAACTTACTCTAGAAGCTGAGAAACCTTCTTACAAGAAGCAGGTAAAAATTGAAATTATTTTAAATAATTTTATTAATCTCAAAACGAAACAATTCTCGAATATCTATTACCTCAAGTTAAATCAATAATAATTGTAAGTTTTTGTTAATTGCGAACGTGTTAAAGTCGATCAATTCGTACCAATATATATTTGCCTTAATACGAATATTCGATTACTACTTGCTCAAGATAGTATAAAAAATTGCGATATTTTAGTAGGACTTGCCTGCTTTTCGTACTAGACTGAATTGGAAGATAGCCTACATATTTACCAACGCAAGTAAATATATAAAAATCCCAAAGTATTCTGTAAATTATTGACTTTTCCAAACCCAGTTGTTTCAGATAGCTCTGACATCAAATTTGCAACCAATTTTCGAATGATGTCTGCAAAAGTTTATTAGCCATAGATTTTCATCTTCGATGATCGAAACTTAATCGAACGCCTCCAAGAAACAGTACATGTAGGAAGCTTCCCCTTTCTATCTTAGTTTTAACAACGTTCACGATACTAAGAACATGTATAAGACAAATAAACCAATTCAGAAGATTCATCATCTGTTGTCCTAAAGGACAACATTATACGATCACCGGAGAGAGTTTCCGTATGATGCCGGCGTAATCGAGACGCGGTTATCTAGAATAGGCTCCTATTTCGTTGGGGAAAATAATGAGATTTCAAATTATCTGAATTTACCTTGACGTTGTGTTCTCTGGCAATTAACTGATAAAGTTTTCATTTATTTCCCGTTTGATTAACTTTACTTTTGAACGGAAGTTTTAATAAAGCTAAAAAAAATTACGTTTATTGTGTGAGTTGTGATTATGTTGAAGCTGTACTATCGAATATTATTATTTTATTAGCTTTACTGTTCACTGCAGTCATGATCTTAATTATTTGTTTAATTTCTTTTTAATTAGAGAGATTTAAAAAAAAAAAAAAAGGTTATTTTAAACCGAAAAAAACCATCTTCGGCGTATAAAGGGTGTATCAAAGTGAACTGAAATTTTGAAATCTATATTTTTACACCCACCGCCGAAGGATGGCGTATCTTCTTCGTATAAAGGGATCTTCAGCGTATAATAGGTGTATGAATGGGAGCATACTCATTCTGTTTTTTTTTTCATAACGTATATAACGCCCAGAGACACAATAAAGTATATATATTCTTGGTCAACGTGAAATCTTGATTTAGCCATGTCTGTCCGTCTGCGTGGTGTGCGCTGTTGGCATTCTCCTAGTCACAAATATGAAGATATGAACTTCGAATTTGGTAGAATCATTGGAAATTTCTGCACGCAGGTTTGTTCTTGAAAATGAGCCAAATTGGTCAGAGCAGAAGCCCGTAGCGGAGCACAAGCTGAACGCAACTCGGTTTTTCTAAATGAAAATTTGTAGGTGTTTGCTTGTTACTTAGAAATAAGAAAAGTTAGAACGCTGAGACATGCCACATTCACTTTACGAAACGCTCTACCCTTTACATGCGAAAATGGAAAAAAATCGGTCATGCCCACGCAAATTTACAAGTGATTAAATTCTGTTTTTTTTTTTTTTTCATTTTTTTGAGGTATTATGCTTATTTATCCATCATCATAAGGCAAACAGGACAGAATGTTTGAAACTATTTTGTCCATTCCTCATATAAACATTTACTATCTGCCCTAAAAATGAATTAATTTTAAAATGAATGCAGTAGACACCGCGACGTTGTGATTTAGTTAATTCTTAATAATACCAGTGATATGGATATCAAATAGAAGAAGAACTTGGAGAATAGAATGCGAACCGCATAGTGGTGGATATGCGGCGGCGGGGATTCGGCCCCATTCCTTATCAGTATTCATAGCATTTTTGATTGCTTTCAATAGCAAGGAAAACGCATCTTGCTTGATGGCAACCAACAAGTTTAATAAATTTCATATATAACGATGTCTGTTTAATACTTGGCAAGTCAATGCCTTTTATGGATTCAAAATTAGAGTTCTTTCGCCTTTTCTTGGTGAATTGTCTAAATTTGGGACAGACGACAGACAAAGTCACATGTTTTTATAAAAAGAAAAAAAAGTGATATATCTTCGATATCCGTCATAATGTTACTGAGATGATCTATTAATTTAAAACTTACCATTTCATTCGGAGACACATTCTACACATGTATTGATAAAAGGAAAATTGAGATGCATTCATTAAAAACTTATTAGTGTTATAATTATTTTGTTGTTGTTATGCTTGAGATATGCGTATACAAGTTGTGTTATAGCATGTTTTCTTTTAATTTTTTTTTTTCCATTTCAAGGTGTACGATTTAGGCTTGGGTCGCCCAAAATATCCCATTAATGGTTTGGAGTTTTTACGTGTTCCCAACACTAACCAATATCTGATAATTGTTGCAGCACCCGATTATATATTCACATTCCAGGAAACATTAAGATCCGATGAAAAGTCTTTGCAATCAATTTTCACTGGCTATGTTAATGGAACGCAATCGCATGGCTTCGAGACCGCAAAAACAGATCTAAATTATTCGGTATTGAAATTGTATGCGCAACCTGGTGAGAAATTTGCTTCGCTCTGGGGTTGGCTATGCGGCTCAGGTATAAGGCACGGGCGGGTAAGTAAAAACGATGACTTTCAGTAAATATAAATTCTCTTCATTCATCCATCCTTTCATCCTTACGCGATGTATTTATTGCTATATGTATAACTGATCGATCAGTTCCGCATTTCAAGTAATATTGGTCAAGTCTGCTAGTCTGGTTTTTATGGGGATTTCGATTATAGTAAAAATTGAGCTAAAAAGGCCAAGATTCCCTTTCGCATAAATTTTACGAACTTCTCGTTGTAATATCGACAAACCGAAATTTTTCGCGTATTATTGTGTATTGGCCCAGACAGGGATGGGCTTATCAATTATCGAATTAAAATGTTGAACAAACAGAGCGGTCACCTGTATTCATCTAATAGACACGACGGACGGAAAAACATATTCAGTTAAGGTAATTTTTAACAAGGGAAGTTGTTACCAAATTTCGCATTAAAAAAATTGAAATCAAATCTTTTAATTCCTCTACACGCACTTATCATTCGACAAGCATATATGAAGAGTTGTATGTATAGCCCAGCTTCACTATTCATTATTCGATACAAATACGAATTTGTCTTATTTACTTATTATTAATTTTGTTTATAATTCAGATAGCGCAGAGCAGCATAACGACGGAAAAGTTTCTTTTGGGCGATGACCTTGTTCCTTTAGATAAAGATATCGAGCAACGCAAGCATTTGTCGTCTGAAGAAAGACGTCTCAGTGTTCCAGTTTCATTTGTTTTAACCGAATATCATGTTTTACTTATGTATCCCGATCATATTAAAGGTATTTGCTTGCTTAACCAACAAGTTGTCTATGAAGAATATTTTCACGAACAAATGGGCAAATTGCTGAATATAGTGCGAGATCCATTTACCGGTTCAGTTTATGTTTATACCGAGAAAATGCTTTTCAGTTATAAAATTTGCGATGAGCATCGTCACGTTTGGCAAATATATTTAGGTAAAGGTCTTTACGATTTAGCCGAAGCTCATGCAGGAGATGATAAAAATAAAAATTTGGTCTTGGAATCTAAGGCTCAAGCGGCAATTCAAAATGGCAATTATATGGCTGCAGCTGAAATACTTGCTGATACAAATAATGCTTTCGAGGAAGTATGTTTGAAATTTATTGACCTGCAGGATAAACATCCAATCATCACCTATTTAAGAAAGCGTCTCGATAAATTGCCAACAGAAAATAATGAAGAACAATTAATGGTTCTAGTAACATGGCTTGTCGACTTGTATCTAACCGAGATCAATTATCCTGGACGTTCTAAAGTAGAAAAAGAGGAATGGCAAATAGCATACGACGAGTTTATGCGGCAATTTTCCGTAGTAAAATTTGTACGCGCCAATCGAGCTACAATACACAAACTAATTGCTCAGCACGCCGACAATCATAATCTAGCACAATTTGCAATAGCAAACGAGGACTACGAAGAAGTTGTTTTACAGCACTTAGCCGCCGAAAAGTATTTAGATGCGTTGAATATACTGCGCAAGCAAAAGGATCCTGAATTGTATTATAAATATTGCCCGATAATTATGGAATTCATTCCCCACGAAACAATTGAGGTTCTGAAATCTCAAGGACGAAAATTTCAAGTAACGAAACTAATACCCACTCTAATAACAATTGATACCCCACTGCATATAGCAGAAGTTACTAAATATCTTGAATATTGTATTTATAATTTGTGTGAGACGAATACATCGGTTCATAATTACCTGGTAAGATTGTATGCCCAACATCAGCCTCCTAAAGTGATTGAGTATTTAGAAACTGAAGGTCACGATGCTTCACTAGTACACTACGATATAAACTATGCTCTATGTGTATGCTTGCAATTTAAAGTACACGAAGCGTGTGTTTTCCTCTATTGCCTTTTGGAATTATGGTACGATGCTCTCGATGTTGCTCTACGCTTCGATATGGCATTGGCGAAAGCAACAGCATCCAAACCGAAAGATGAAGAAACTAAAAGTGAATTATGGCTACGCATCGGTAATAATTTTGTGTTAATCAATTATGTTTTAAATAATTTTGCTCCTCTTTTAAGTATGCCACGAAATCGAGGGAACCAACGATGTTAAAAAAGCTTTAGATTTGCTAAATGAATGCAATTTATTACGAATCGAGGACTTGCTGCCCTTCTTTTCTGATTTCGAGAAAATCGACGACTTCAAGGAGCCAATTTGCAAGGCCCTCAAAGTAAATGTTAACGTCCTTACAATTCACACACTATATTGCCATCTTATATCATTGCTTGTATCGCATTTATCTATCTATATAGGTATACAATCAAAAAATTCAAGAATTGCAACACGACATGGCAGAATGCACCAAACAATCGGAACGTGTGCAAAATGATTTAGAAAATATAAGAGAACGTTGCCTAATTATCGAAAGTCAGGAAATGTGCAATAGTTGTGATACCTATTTGCTGGTTAAGCCATTTTTTGTATTCGGTTGCGGTCATAAATTTCATGCCGATTGCTTGGAAAAATCCGTCGTGCCGCATTTAATTTCGGAGGAAAGCCGCAAATTGACTATGTTAAAGCAACAGCTAGAATCAATGCTAACACAATCAGCCGCCATGGCAGAAAACAGTAAAGAGTTGCAGAAAAAACGTGAAAAACTCAAACATGAAATTGAAGAGATAGTTGCAGCTGATTGTCCTTACTGCGGCCTAATGATTGACACAATTGATCAACCATTCGTAGAAGATTGGGATCAAGTGAACGTTGATTGGGAGTAAATTGAGTAAAACTACAAAGGTATAAAGTTGTTTCTTATCAATCATGTAAAAAATAAATGATAAAAAATTATTAAATTGTGTTCTGAAATTGTGTAATGATACACATACATACAGTAAAGAATTATTTGCTTCCATTTACAGTTCCCTATGCTTATAATTAGTAGCGTAATTGTGCTTAAATTTTGAACAATATAAAATGTTATGGATACAACACTTTCTGTCAATCAATAATTTCTAAGCGGAGTTCATTTCTCACAAAACTGAAAACGGTATTAAATACCGCTTCTTGTATTGCCGCGTTGTTCAAGATTAATGGCAACAGCATCACCAAATCCGAGGGATGAATTCGTTCAACAGCTTTCGTAACATGATTAACTAAACGTTCTTTTTGAGTGTCCGTAAGATCATTCATCAAAACCTCACCAAGAGGACGGAAAGAACCTATAAAGAGAAGAGATAAAGAGGAAAAGTTTGTTAGTTGCGCAAATATAAATCTCTCGTAACCTTTGCACTGCGACTATGAATCATTCCAAACTTTTTAAACGCAATTTTTCCAAGATACTTACTCATTTCACGTTTTAAAATAAATTTTTTTTTTTTTTTTTTTTTTATAAAACACTAATCTCTTTCTCTTTATGACATCTACTTGGGATAATAAGACCGAACTGAATCAAACTTCAAATCTACGCACCTTGAGTGGTTTTATAGGCAGCTAAGCCTCCGGCTGCTCCACCAATTGCCAATCCAAGAGGTCCTAATAACATGCCGCCAACAAATGAACTAGCTGCGCATATAGCAGCACCTTTGCCACATTGCTTAACAGCAACTCGGACATTCCGTTCATCAGCAATCACGGAAATAGCTTGTATTAATTCTCTATTATCAATAGGCATACTTTTAAAAATTTATATTATTGTATGTTTAATAGAACTCTCTTGAAAATTTTTTGACAAGCTTTACGTGTACTTCCCGATTTTATTCTAATGTCGCAGTTATTGTTTTCTCTTTTTGACATATTGACAGATTTCAGAAGAAAATATGCACATAATATTCGAGTATTACATTCCTGTCTTACATGACGTTTGTCAACAAAGTGACCAAATACTTCAAATGGAAAATTCAAAAAACAACTCAGATACGAAATAAAAATGTAAAAGCAAAATATAAATGCGCTTTTAATAATTTAATGTATTTTCATATAAATACATAAAACAGAATATGTTTTATTTTAAAGGTTGTAAAATTATATTTTTATTTAAAAGTCTTAAATTATTTTTATTGCTTTATCAAATAAAAACTTATATGTCATTTTCTATTGCTGTGATCTGCATCATTTGTTTTATGGAATGAGGTAAGCCAAGCCCACCTAAATTAGATGCAATTTTTTTTTTTTTATTGCAAATCATTTTATCAGTAAACATATTCTTTCCTTGTGCAAAGTTTTTTGATTGTTTATATGTATATATATATATCCAAATCAATAAAAACTTTTTACCAATCAGTTATTTTCCCGTAAATGAACATTACGTTTACTACTTAAGTATCAAGCCTCTTGTATCTCAGTATCTCATTTAAGTTTCAAGTATTCATTTTATGACTTACTAATAGTTTCATGTTGAAAACTTCACAGGCTTTCGTTTTGTACAGGATATTGCCGTGTATAAAAAAGCACTGCATTAGCATTACTGCACTAGTAAGCAATTGTTGGTCGATGACACTTGTGTGCGTTGCTTTATTGTAAATATTTTCTTTTAAATGAAACGTACGAAAATAATTTTTAAAGTCTCTTATTTATTATTTTAATTTTTTTTTTTTTACGTAAACAACAATACAAATGTAATATTTATTCTGCATTAGTATATATAAATAAACAATGAATTTTCATGCTTTAATAAACAAGAAGAAGTAAACATGTTCTCTCTGCAAAATGTGAGTAGAAAATAAAACAATTTTAATATAATTATTATTTTGTTTTTTGTTTTTTTTTGTATTTACTTTAATGTAATGAAATGTTACTTTGATACTCTCCATTCTCTCATCGGTGTTGTTATCGTTAATGAAACTCACTCATTATTGTTTGTTTGCGTTGTTTTTCTTCATATTTGCAACTGTTTTTAAACCATCAGCGCAGTGTATATGAATCTAAGCGATTCTATTTTTAGATTGAAGGAAGACACTCTTACATACCAGTTTATGTGCATATGTATATAGATCTTATTTTCCATTCTTATAGACGAATAATACGATTCATAATCAAAATAACTGAAGAATAATGATTTATAATAGTAAGCACCTATAAGTTTCATTTTAATAATTACATTTATCCATTCTCCCATTTAGACTAAATACATTAAAAATTATTGAAAAAATATCGTAGAACAAATGCAACAAAACAAGTTCATATTTTATGCAATTAAAGAGGCCTTCACTCTATGGCAGCAAAATTTTCCTTTATATCCAACATAGTTTTCCCGAACGCTACTTCATCCATGAGGTGATTTTTTTCAAAACTTCCTTATTTAACCAAAGAAAGCAAAGCAGAAAAAAAGTGTTCCAGGTTGATAAAAACCAACAGATCTAAATATAATTGACGCGATAATAATTCGTAATGTAAATTCTTCAAATCGGAGCGGGGGGAAAAAAACTTTGCAAGACATGACTTTGATTTGAAGAAATATGATTTTTTTTTTTTTTTTGATACAATTCTTCTCTCATTGATTTGATGATAATCAATTAATTAATTAAATCTTAGTAGCTTTTTTGGTAAATTTGAACATTTTCGAACTGGTCCACTTTTTCGATCACTTCCCATATAAAGGGTTATTTTGAATCGTCGATACATGACTAACTGTGCGCTGGTTCCGCGTATTCAATGGTTCATTTTATATTCCTTCTCAGTTAAAAACACTATGCTATTCTTACAAAATCGTTGAACTTAAAGAATAAAAGAAATCGTCGCAGTTTTGACAAAATCAATATATCGCCCATCCCTCGGTACTGAGTATAAAAATTAAAGCACTATGAAGAACTTTAAGCGATTTCTGTATATTTTGATCAACTTATAAGAATTGTAAATCAGAAATTTCACTCCATTATTTACTGAAAAGCCTATGAAAGCGAAGGCATGCCCAACGATCACGTAATAAGAATAGTTTTACCATCCAATTTGTAAAGTTAATCCTAAGTGAAGAACGAGGCTTTAAGTTATTTCGATTTTTTCTGGGCAATTGTAGTTCCTTTCCAGCTAATCTATCTTACTCTCTTCCCAAACAGCTTAGGTTCTTCTTCAAAGTCTGCCTGGGAAATCCCGAATCGGACTAATTCTCTTTCCAATCAGCCATGCTCTACCATTCTCAACCAGCCTAACATCCCCGATATCATTTCAGCCGTTTTTCAATCACTCGTACACTTTTTATACCTCATTCCTAACCAGATTGGGCATCGTTGCTGGTTTAATTTTATTAGCGCCAGAACGAGAGCGGTAGAGTATTTTGTAAAGTAAATAAAATGTGATAAAATGAATTGAATCCTTTACTGTTTGACTGTTTATATAAAATATTACACAAGTGAGTTAATTAATGACCAAATTAACACCGAATTGTCTCAATTAACTTGTACAAATTGTCAATAATTAAATTATATATATATGTAAATACATAAATTATAACTAATAAAATTGTTTATTTTCACTTGTATTCATATTTATTGATATATCTTTACTTATTACACATCATTTAGCTGTAAATACAATTTCAATTAATCTTTATAACTGAACATATGTATATGTATGTATGTATGTAAGAAATAGTAAGCTTCAAAGGTTTTAAGGGAAATTATTTTAATAGCTTTTATCCATACCGATAACGAATGATAATTTTAGATAATTGATTTTCTAAACCAGTACAAGAATTTATTTTGTGTATCCAATTCAATTCTTTAACGAGAGTGAGGTAACGTGATAGTTTTTTTTTTTTCTTAAATGACATATCTCTTTCTGAATTCGATAAAGCCATTAGTCTCTTAAAAGATTCATCTCCGAGCTTAGATGGCTTAGATTCTAATTCTACTAAAGGAATGTAACAGCATTTGAATATACCCTCGTCCTGGTACGACATGCAAATGATTACTTTAAGAAAAAAAGAGTAGCTCGCCATTTAATCTTAATTTCTTTAAGACGTATTGCCTCAGTTTCTATCCTTACAAACATTTTCAAGAAGGTATTATATTCACGTATAAAATGATATCTCGATTCTAAGTGTATACTCAGCAACTTTCAATTTGACTTAACATGTTCCACATCTGCCCAAGACAACATTGCTGAATAGATAAAGAAGAAGAATACAAATAACAATAGTGTAATCGGGCAAGTCGCACTATTATATATCGTACACCATTTTGCTTAATTAATAAAACAAAAAAAACAAAAAATTATACATTATTTTTATGTAAATGCATAACTTTCCTGAAAGCCATGCCCTTACAGGATACTCAAACGTTAATGTGATTTAAATTTGCCAAACTTAATTTGCTTCCAAGTGTTTCCGTCCGAAAAAATCACAAATTAGGCTTTGCCGCTATAGAAGGGCTTGATTTCATGACAGCCCCTATATATAGTGCGGTCCAAAAAAATTTATCTATATGATCCAAAATCCCTATGCGTGATTTCATCATAAAATATGAAAGCTTAGAACTTTTTGGCTCATAAAATCTTACCTTTCGTCAGAACCCTTGGGTTGGGTTGGGATCCAAAAAACAGGCCAAAACGTAGTCCAAATTCGGTCAGATGAATTTTTGTGCCAAGAAGTATTGTGTGCAGAAGTATTGAAAATTAATCCTTTTTACTGTAAAAACACACGGTTTCCGTTTGAGAGGAGTCTGAAAAAATCGTCCCAACCGACCCATAGTTTTCGTACCAATTTATAACGACATATACTATTACATAGCGAATTTTTTTCGGAAAAGTTTGAAAATTTCATTTTCACTTCCGCATAAAGACATTTCAAAATGAAGCGTTATATGGGAAAGGGTTGCTAAAGTAGACCGATTCGAAGCATTTTCAATAGGGTTCGTCCTCAGGTAAGAACCCGTCGATGCAGCAAATTTTATCAAAATATCTTAAAAATTGTGGATTGAACACAAGTAAACAAGACGGACAGACCGACAGACGTTATGAGAGTGTTTACCATAAAAAAAAACTATTTGTAGTTTTTTTATGACCGAAACAAGAGGTAGCTAGAGAGTCGATCTGTTTCCATTAGTAGAAACGTACTCGTCAATGCGTATGGCAAAGGAGCGACCAGCCTGTCCGCCAATTTGTGCGACTGTCTGTCTGTGTGCCGTTTGTTTCCTTATGTATATTTAACATACACGTTGCAATATTCGACATATTTTCATGAAATTTAGTCTATACGCAATGACATGATTTGGACGCACGGACGCATATCGTTTATTTTTCCATCCATTGCCTTGATAAAATCCGATTTTTAAATATATATCTTGTATTATATTTAACTTTCAATTTTAGACAAAGGTCAATGAAAGTTGATCAGATGAGAAGATGACTGACTTTCGTTTCGAACTTTGTTACAAGGATAATTAAATGCGGACGTATACCGCACACCCATAAAGTATTGAAATAAGTTCACATTTTCTTATACCGGTCGAATCACATTTCTAAGACGTTCTAAGCTACTTTGACCATCTAAACTGCATCACTTATGGTACCGAGTATAGTAAGTTTGTGCCGACGCATGTAACACCCAGAAGGACTTAAGATACACACGTCGATACCATTTGTTATACCAATCGATTCAGAATCACTTTCTGATTCGATCCAAGTTTCTCTGTCCGTCTATCCGTCTGATGTCTAGCTAGGCATGTATTTTTGTCTTCAACCTACAAGCCAATATTTTTTGAGTTATTTTGATGAAATTTTTTGTCGTCCACCAACATGTTTTGACCCAAGGACGAATGCTATTGTCTCGATCGTTTCCCATAATTCGCTTAGTAATTGTGTTACGATATTTTATGTGAAAATATCGCATTTGATTGGGGAAATTTTTTAAATCTTTTTTTTTATCTAACCTTTCCTACAGAAATTGAATCTGTTTATATGGGAAAGAGAGGAGGGGGTCTGATGCTTCTTTCTGGGCGTTGTAAACGTTTTGACAAAATGAATATATCCCTCATCCTTCGGTGATGAGTATAAAAATCGTTATAAGAATAACTAAAGCATGATGTAGGGTATATCTAATGGCGGCCATCTTCCCTTATGGCGTTTTTATTTGTTACTGGTATGTAAAAAAGGTACTATTTAAGAGAAAAATGGAAATTTCTTATCAAAAATTTTAAGTTTTCAAGTTTCCATCTAACCTGTTGCAATCATCATCCATTCAATAAGATGTACAAACTATTAGGGTCAGCAAAAATATGTTAAAGTAAAATTTTGTCGCATATCTCTTTGTACATATAGTCCCATAATTCATGCGCTCGCATGCAATATATTTATAGTCGAAAAGTAAATAACGAATAATTCTTTGCACCTCTTATCCTTATCCCTAACAGCAATATCCATTTATAAAATAAACAAAACAACCTTAATAGCAAATGTCAATTATATCGAAATAAAAAATAAAAATAAAAAAAATAGTTTATACCGATTGCTTTGCATGAAGTATGAAGGAGCAGCTAGCTGCGCGTATAGCACACCTTTTATTAAGTTTTTGACTATTGAGGAAGAAGAAGCGCATTTTTATTTAGAAATTAATATCAAGTAAATATTAGTTTAAGTGAAAATGATGAAAGCAAATTTATTTGTTTGTTTGTTTGTTTCTTTACTTCCTTTTAATTGCAGCGTAACACATTTCTCTTGACATTTTTAATATACGATGCCGTCGTATTTCAAATAAGTCGGGCTACGCTCGATGAAACGAAAGTGCGTGCCTTACAACTGCAACTGCAACTGCAACAACAACAGCAGCACCAGCAGCAAAACGAGCAACAGCAACAGCAACAGCAACAACAGCAGCACCAACAACAACAACACCGGCAGCAGCAGCAGCAGCAGCAGCAGCATCAACAAGCAACATTGATAACACCAAGCTTAATGGAAATAATGGATAATCAAAATGATAATGCCCAACTGACTACTACGACAGTCTCAAGTTCCCCGATTACAATTGCTACCGCTTCCTCGGCCGATAATATGCCAGAATTTTGCTTTTATGCTGAGCCGCAATTGTGTTTCAATTTTCATAACGAAAACGCTAGCGATAATTTATCACAACAGTGGGCAATAAATACGTGCCATTGCCGTCCACATCCCAATGTTACTAACAGTTGGTATTGCTGCAATATTACGCATATATCAATGATTACCGCTTGCCGTAACACCAGCAGCAATTGGTCGAATTTACATATATACAATATGACCATGATCGAAGTGGACTTATCATTATCCATATTTCAAACATTGCATTCGTTAGCGATAACGGACGGCAATATTAGCCGTTTGGTTAAATCATTTTCGCGCGTTTCGCAAATCAAATGCCTAAACTTTTCGAATAATAATCTCTCCAATATAACAATGAGAGCGCCACCGTTTTTAAAATTCTTAAATATATCAAAAAATAATCTCACACAAATACCGAAATTAAAGCAAAATCAAAACATTACCTTGGATGTAAGGTAACCACCGATGAAATTTCAATTTCAAAAAAAAAATAATAATAATAATAATAATAATGATAGGAAAAAAAAAAAAAAAAAAACAAACAACAATAATAATAATAATAATAATAATAATAATAACAAGAAATACTTAAGTTATCAATATATTTTCATTTTTATAGAGATAATAAACGAATGTTGTGTAAGCCCCTATTGGAAACGATATTTCGATTTAAATTTGTCGCTCCCAATAGCTCGTACTGTTTATTGGATAACAATTTTCATTGGTTCAATTCAACTGATTCCATTGCGATTAATCAGTTAGAGATGGCTCGACGTTTTCACACCGAATGCCCGATCATACCCGGTAAAGGTAATTGTATCTGCGCCCCCGAGCATATGATAAGAACTGTAAGTTCATTACGATTATCAATAATTCATTCGTTTTCCGCAAATTCTTTTATTGAATTCGATTTAATTTGCAGGGTGATCCCTCTAAACCGGAAGTGAAAATATTTTGTCGCGTCGATTGCTCTAATTTGGGTTTAACCGAATTGCCTTCGAAATTACCATTAAACACATTTTACTTTGATATCACCAACAACAATGCAAGTATATTATTATTTTATATTATATAAATTGCTATTAATCCAATATTAATGCAATAATAATGTTTTAAAAAAGATCACAGATATCGGTAAACAATTTCATAATAATCCGACATATCAAAGCATTGCTAAATTGTTTGCCGACAATAATCGAATAGAATCGATGCACGATCTAGAGGGTACAAAATTTATGGATCATTTTCAAGAAATACATTTACGCAATAACGCCATAAGTCGGGTAAGTCTTTCAAAATGATATTATATTTCATAATAAGCAAGACATTATATAAAGCTTGATAATCCTTATTCTCGGATCGTTAATAGATTTTTCATTGTAAAATAGAGCAAAGATATATTCGTTCAATATCTAGAATAATCCATCACATCACGACATATAAAAAAAGAATTTATTTTTTTTTTTTTACTTTTTGATAAGAGTAACATTTTAATGTACTTATAATGGATGATATAAAAGGTTTCCGCGATTTTTTGCCACTGGGTAGTGTTGGCGCCTATATATCGGGCAACACACACCTGATGGTCGCAATCGAGCATGTGCTTAAGTGATGACATTTCAGCTTGCATGTTTTGTGCTCATCTAAATAGTTATATTGGATATGGAATGGATATGAAAATATCTGAAGAAATAAGCTATATAATGCTGATTTTATTATGAGAGAAGAGAAAAACACACGAACAAAATCAGAAAAATTTGTGAGATATACAATGATTATGCTATGAGTGAACGATGAACCCAGGACCGGTTTGCTCGATTCCATTCCGGAAATTTCAAACATTCAATGTCAAAGAAATTTTTGCAACTGATGGACCTTAGACTTTAGACTAAACATCAACCACATGACAGTTTGGAAACATTTGAAAAGAGCCGGCTACAAAAAAAAAAAAAAGCTCAGAAGAAGAAACAAAAACCGCGGAGACTTTTTATAACGCGCATTATAATGCTGGCATCGAATGGCATGCTTCTGACGTGTATTCAAAAACATACAATAAATTAACTGAACTCATTTTGATCCTAATTGACAATTATCTCATTCAATTATGATTTTAATTTTCAGTTGCCTGAATATCTGCTAACCAACGTCTTAAACAGCTATGTAGGACGCATTATATATTTGGGAGGTAATAAATTAATTTGCGATTGTAATTCGGCGAAAGTGTTAAAGGTACATAAATAACCGTACGATATGAAAGAAAACGTTTACATTTTTCTATTCAATGGCATTACAGATTTGGTTGTTACAGCGTAGTCGTGATATTCCCGATTATAATGATATTCTTTGCCGTAATATGCCGCAACGTGTTATGGAATTACAAGAAATCAAAGTATGTCAATCGCCACATGATTGGACTGCGTATGTTTATTATTTAATAGCCTGTGAGGTAATATTATTGATAGCATTAATAGCAAAAGTTTCCTATGACTATTGGGTTTTTAAAACGGCCGGCTATCTACCTTGGCCGGCAAGCAAAATGCCAAAATTACCCTGTGATTGGCTATGTGAGTCATAATTGTATTTTAAGATAATCTAACAACTTAAATGTTGCCCAACGATAAACAAAAAGTGTCTTCTAAACAAGTGCCTTCTAAACATAGTTTGTGGTTTTTTTTTTTTTGTTTTTTTTTTTTTTATAAACTTGCTTTATAAAAAATATAAAAATTTTCACACATGTTTAATAATAAAAAAAAAGAAATCATTTATAAAATTTACTCTTTTTTTTTAATTATATCGACTTTTCTCTTCAATTTTTTTAACTTTTCACCTTTGTTTACTTTACTTGTGTGTTCTTGTGGAGTTGATGAGTTTTTCGTATTTTTAAGAACCTTTGTCTCCTCGCTCTTTGCTACTTCAGGTTTAATTTTAGTAGAAATATCTTCACGCTTTGGAGCGAAATTGGCCAGTTTCTTTCTTTCCGATTTACTCGCTTTTTTCATATTTAGCATAAATTCGGGTACCTTGCCTCCAGAATTTTTAATAATTTCCGCAATACTTAAATATTAAGCGATAAACTTATAATAGAGTCACATTCGCATTATAGGCAAACAAATTATATTCTTTACCTTCTTATTTGCGCCTTATCATCTTGTGTGAAGAATGTGATTGCCTTGCCGATTCTGCCGGCACGACCTGTACGACCGATCCGATGTACATATGAAATGGTCGATGGTGGGAAATCGTAATTTATGACCAGGTTAACACCTTTAAAATCGATGCCACGACTCATTAATTCGGTACATATTAAAATCCATATATGACCTTCTCTAAAAGCTCGTACGCAATTATCCCGTTGCTGTTGGGTGCGATCTGCATGAATAATATCCACATTAATGCCATCATATAAAAGTTCTTCAAAAAGTTGTTTAGCCCGTTCCTGTAACATAATTACAAATGTAAATGATTTGAACAATGTTTTTATAAAATGCTAACCTTGCTTTGTACGAAAATGAGTACAGGAGGCTTTAGACCAGAGCGCACCAAATCGCGAACTGCTAATAATTTACCACTTTCGGAACCAACAAAGAGCAATTCTTGTTTCACGTTTTCAGTTGCAGCGTTTTGTACACCAATATTAACGCGAGCTAAATTTTTCAAATTTTTTATTGCCCATTTCGCTACAGCTACCGTATACGTGGCGCTGAATAAAGCCATTTTCTTATTGGATTTAGAGCATGCAGCCAGAATGTCATCAAGCTGTTCTTTGAAATTATTTTTACCTTCTTCCATTAAACGATCTGCTTCATCTAAAACAAACCATTCCACGCTGAAAAGTATTTTTATTATTATTATTTATTCAATTCTATCTGCTTTAAAGCTTTTTTTCATACCTTTTAAGATCCAATAATGGTGGCTCTTGTTGTAACAAAAATCGCACTCGATTTGGTGTTGAAATCAAAATATCGAACTTTCTTAATTCACTTTCAATAGGTTTACTTTGATTAAGTTTCCCAATAATGTATATTTTCAAAGATGTTTTCTCGCACAAGCGCACGCACTCTCGGTAGATTTGCTGAGCCAATTCACGAGTGGGCGCTAATATCAAAGCTCGAAAACCAATTTTTTTGGGAACTTTCAAATCATTAATAATAGGAGTCAAAAATGCAATTGTCTTGCCGGAGCCCGTTGGCGCACAAGCCATTAAAGACCGTCCTTTCAGCATTATGGTTATGGCTTGCATTTGAATAGGTGTCGGTTGAGAATAATTGCAGTTCATTAAATTTCTAACTAAATTTTTACTAACGTTGTACGTGGTATGCAATTCCTCGAAAGTAGTAAATGGCGGTGGTATATTTTTACCTAAGACGGTTATCTGATTTTCTTTACGCAAACTTTCAACCATTTTTTCTTCTAATTGCTTTTCCCGTTCTGCGTCAGTAAGCTTTGCAACTTTCTTTTTCTTTTTTTTCATTTTCGCTTGGGAATCTGGCACGCCTGAAATAAATTCAAATGAATTTGAATATTCATCTTCATCAGAATGTGTGCGCTCCGATATGGCATTTTTTAGCTGGTTATTATCCTCGTTTGGTACGAGAAGATCTTCTTCAAGTTTTAGTTTCTTTTTTGAAATCTCTTCCTTTAATAAATAAAATAATAGTCGAAGTTGTGTACCACATATCATTGTACTTACCTCAGGTGATTGTGCCGGTCTTCTCCTCTTAAATTTTGCCCCTCTGGTTAACTGCCTAAATAAATCGAATCCATCCATTTTTTGTCTATGGAATTCCTTCGTTTAGATTTCTATTAATTTGTCGGTATTAAGAACAGATCGAGTAAATAGTGGCATATATATTTAGTTTATCTAATATTGGATTTGAAATAAACAAAACAATCCACGTGCAAAAAAGATCAGCTGATGCGTGAAAATTTTCTTCTTCTTCTGAAAATTCTGAAAGTTAATTTCTCATTCACTATACTATGCAGATATATTATAATAAAATCTTATATTCATAAATCTAACAACTCTGAACTAAAACGCTTACAGTGAAAGGGATATCAGCGTTTTATTAGTTCTTAATTATGTAGGCTTTTAAGGTCAGCAAATGGCTTTTAATAGGATTTAAAAATTAAATACAATTTATTATTTTCACATCCTTCATTCAGTAAGGGACATAGCGGGTTATGCTGTAGTAATGAAAATAATAATAAATGTAGAGCACATTTTCTTTATTTAATTTTGGTACCTTTGAATCATGCAAAAATTTGCATATATTTAAGTATCTAAAAAATATCGTCGGACAAACTCGATCAATGGAAGCCATTGTCGGCGCCAGCTAGGGCCAGGGCTGGTAATCTTATAATCATTTATAGAATTAAGGATTGATTGTAAACTTATCCGTTCCAGAAGTAGTAATTAATATATATGAAATAATAGTTACAATTTCTTACATGTAAACCCTAAACCCATCTCCACCACCACCAATTCATATATACGCATTATGTTCGCTTCCTAATACCTCAAAACTCAATATAAACATTGATGTTGTCAATTAAGCTCAATTGGCAAAAACATTGAGAGCACCGACCGCTGCCGCAAATCCTTGTTATCAACACGTGGCAACTCTTTACAATGTGAAATACAAAATTTATCTTAAGAAATAATTCATTTTTTTAATGAAGACGTTTTAAATAAGAAAGAACATTTTACATAGGCTTTTCACTTACAGGGCTGATCAAATTTAGCTCTTATATACTAAAAAAAAAAAAAAAAAAGAACTTAATTTTGTATCGGTCTTCCACTTTTAGTTCTTATATACCCAAAAAAAAAAAAAAGAAGAAAATAATATCGATAAAAGATGTATTGAAAAAATTCGTTCGAAAGATGGAAGAAAATGCTTTATTAACCAATATTACCACAATTATTACTAAGGACATACTCATTGACGAAGCGAATAGTCAACGAAAGGGAATTTGGCATGGTAATCCCATTAAAAACGGATATAGTACTGCACTGAAATATCCGCTTTTGGAATCAAACGATGATGAAGATTTGGAATTTTTTCTTAAACAACAATTCTCCTTCGAATGTGCTTCTAAAATACAGCCAACTATAGTTTCTGTGACGAATGCAAATAGTAAATTTAAAAAATGTGGAGGAATTGAGGAAAATCCACGTAAAAGAAAGTTCGTGCCCAAGTCTTTTAATGCAAATGTTAGAATAAAAGATCTGGATTTGCTTAATGAATTTGATAATATGAAGTTCGAGTGTTTTTTGCATATGAATAAAATGAGTTTTTTGGTAAGTCACCTAAAGCATTTGCAAACAAAAAAATGCCCATGGACTATTTTTTATTTTTTTTTATTTTTTAGAAAATATTTCAGTTTGTTCGTAATCTATTAACTCCTGCTTCATTGCCCTTCGGTGTGCCACCGCAAACTATATTTTCTCTAGCGCTATGGAAACTTACTACCGATGAACATTTCGAAGAAATGTCGCGCCGCTTCCAAGTATCTCTACAGGAATGTGAATCGTTGGTCAAACAGTTTTGGCACATAATGTCTGAAAACTATGAAACGTATATACGATGGCCCAATTCACAACTATCTCAGAAATTAGAAGTTCAAGGATTTCAACAACATAATCGGTTAAAAATATTTCCTCAACTTTTTGGTGTTGTGGCTATGAAACGTTTGGATATATTTTTAGCTTCCGAAGATTCAGAAATTCCGGTTATATTACAATTGGTATGTAACGCTGATCAAAAGGTAATTGATTGCTTTGTAGAACTAGAACAAGATTATACATTCGAGGACACTCCCATGGGACAAATATTAACAATGAATGAGAATAGCATGCCCAAAGAAAGCTATTTAATTGGAAATCAATGTTTTCCATTAAAATCATACTTAATACGGCCTTTTTCAGCCCCGTGTTCTCAAAGAGAGCAAAAGTTTAATCGCCTACTGGATTTAGCTTTGGAATTAGCTCAAGACAGTCTTGACATTATGGCAAAACGTTTTAACGCTTTGTACGCTTTAGAAGCCAGAGATTTACAAGAAGTTAGAAAAATCTTAGAAACAATATGCTCTTTACACAATTTAAGTATAGCTATCGAAGATGATTATGTAGATCGAAAGCGTCAAGTTGTTACTTTCAATTGGGCTAACGATACCAAGAAACTTTTAAATATACAAGGCAGCGAACAGAATCCTCAGGGCATCCAAAGACGTAATGAATTGCTTCAGCAAACTATTAATGATTCACTGCATCATGACTCCTAAGGACTTGTGCAAACCATTAAAAGTGCTGAATTATTAGGACCAATAACCGTATCTAGTAGGCTCTATCAAGATATTGATATTGAGTCTTTCACAAAAGATAAGATCATTGGGATTAATACAAAAACATCAATCATAGCAAGGAGGAATTTTTCAATAAACGCGGGTCATTGGAACTAGTGAGGCAGAGAGAAAATTATTTGATCAAATTTGCGGCATCCAAAGTTTGAAAAAAACCTACTCACACAAAATAAAGACGTAAGCATATTATTTTAAGATATTAACATAAGTTATAGAACTAAGAGTTGTTTGCCGACTTTGCCTGCATATAAAATTTTAATTTCTTATGCGCTACATTAGTTTGGATACCGAGTATATTAAGTTTGTGAGGACGCCGATAACATGCAGAAGGGCTTAGAATAGACCCACGTTTTATTCTAACAAACAAACTTGTCTGTCCATGTATTTTTATTATCAACGATCAGGGCACAATTTTTAAGATATTTTGATGAAATTTGCGACACTGATATGCTTTGACCCAACGATGAGCACTATTGAAAATGGTTCGGATATGTCCATATTTTTGATCACTTCCCATATAACATTTTATTTTGAAAAACCGTTATATGAAAATAAATTGCAATTTTCAAAATTTCTTGACAAAAGTCGTTTAGTGATAGTATTTCGACATTCTAAATTGATGTGAAAATTTTGGTTTAAAATCTCTTCTTATATAATCAATTAGTATCTACATCAAAGTCCCTACGAAAACTAAAATCTTGATATAGTAAAAAGGTGTAAGTTTCAATATTTCTTCGTGAAAATTGGTTCATAACAGTAAAATGACATAGGAGTCAACTTTACCGAATTTGGACCACGTAGGTAGGGTGCTCAGGAAATGTTAACCCTTATATTCCCAACAGGCCAATTTGTTAATGTTTTATGATGAAAAATTGTTCATGATAGTAATTTGATATAAAAATTAAATAAACCAAATTTGTACTACGTGAGTTTGTTTCTTAGATAGCACTCCATATAAAATTTCTCGTGGTTAAAAAACCCGCCACTTTTTATAGCATTAAAAAAAATTAATTTTATTTTGTCCTAACAATCCTCTAAAATGTAAACCTGTTAACTACAGAAAATTTGGGACAACTTTGGGAAGAGAAATGAAGGCCTATGCGTATGTGCCATAGCTGGGCTAGCTCGTAGTTCATAAGATATGAGAGGGGTTCTGTAGCTTAGTCACGGAGACTTTTACGACGGTTGCGCCAAAAAGTTTGCAAGTGCTTGTTCCTTACGGAATACTATCCATATAGTATATTTTTGCCCGTGCGAAACCCTAACTAACCGGGGACCGGGGACATGCCTCTCGACCTATTATTTTTCAATGAAAAACACGCTTTCGCACGAAAAGAAAATGCGTACAATTTCGTGTTTTATTATTATAAAAATGGATAAACAACCGTAATAGGCAAAGGGATGTAGGATATCTCGACCTTGCCTGACTATATATAGTATTCTTACTTGTTATTGTATTGCATTCGTTCAGCTATTTCACAGACGTGAAGGAAGTTTTTCATGATTCGCAAGTGAGTACACAGGGTTCAAAAGGTAAATATATACTTAGTTAATGTTACCATGTCGTAATGTCGTAAACAGCAATTTGATTGATTGTTTTATATAAGTAAAATATATTCTTCTTCTCCTGATTATATGGTATGAATTTATATGCGTATATGTTGTACACTTTTTTAATACATTCTTGCTACTGTTTCAAAATAACTAAAAAAAATAATTTAAATGTTTTAAAATTTCTACTCAACTTAACAAAATACATACAATTAAAATTAAATAAGGTACTTGTTCGTATAAAAAAATTGAATATAAAATATGTATGTAAATTTATAACAGTTAATTGAATAATATTGACAACAGTTTTAGAGAGCTTTCGGGCGGATATTTTAAAAGTAAATTAAATAAAGAAAAGTCATGTTTTATTCTATTTAAAATAATGTAAAGAATTATTTCATAAAAAAAAAAAAAAAAATGGAATGTTAAATAAAATCATTTGGTGTTTAATAAGAAAATTCAACTAAATTATATATTCGCAAATTGCTCGTGTGTCGGCTAGCAACCATAATTAACAATTTATAGTATTTATATAGAAGTATTTGTGCTTGGCTATGTAGTGGCAGTACTACTTGTACTACTCGTATTTAAATGATGATCATTGCCGACGAGATTCAATAATTTTTGACGAGTTCGTTTATCGCTAATGCATGCGCAAACGATAAGATTCGTTAATTGTTTGTTCGTATATTGTTGTGTTTGGAGATTCTTTTGTTCAATAATCCATTCTTCAAATTGTTCATTCGAGAAGTAATAAGCTTTAATAAATAAATCTACATAAGCTCGACATTCAGGGTATTTTTGATTCGATATTAGTTCGAGAATCGACATAAAATTGGTAAAATCGAGTTGCATAAGAGCACGGCCACCGGCGGAACATTTTTTTACATTTGAAAATCTAAGAAGAATACAATAATGCGATTAATAACATAAATGAATAGAAGAATTTCCGTTTGTTTTTGCTATCTACTAACTAACCCTTCCACAAGTAGATGTGTAGCTACATGGGTCATTGAGTTCCAAACCGGTTCGGCTGGTACAGCAATTTCTTTACCAATTTCTTCCAAGCGCATAGCAAAGTTTTGTATATTCTAAAAAAATAGTGAACAATTAAATTAATATCATTACCAAAAATGCCTTTCGTTTTTTCTTTTTTAAATTTACCCTGTTCATGATATCTATGTAATTGTTATGCTGAAAGCTCACATGATTAACATCCCATTTAACTTTGGCCATCATTGTTAGTATAGCCGTTAAATCTATAACACGCGAAGTTACACAGGTGTAGACAGGTTTGCCTACATCCATCATAAAATTAAGGTAATCAAAATAATTTTTCAACATTGAGCGCTCTTGTGCGGGCAGCAAGTGATTCAAGTAAGTATGTAATATCTGAAATTGTTGAACCATACAATGACCACTTTCAACAGCTACGATGCGTTGCGAAAGACCGTACAAAGTATCTGGATTAGCAAGCTCATTGTTAATCTGAAACGGTAAATAAAATTGCAATAATTAAAAAAGAAATTTTGTAGTACAATATTACCAGTGAGGAAAAGTTGAGGGGCCAAATTTTAATATTTGGTACTACATGATGGCTGACATATTCTAATTTTTCTTCAAGTTTTGGAGAATAAAAGTTTTCCATTTGTACAACCTGGCAAATATATAATAATATCGTAAGAGATGTTTATTGTTTTTTTATTAAATTAAAGAACATATTCTTACGGAATCTTTAGCAAATATTTCATGCACGGCAAAGGCATAGAAATCCATTAACTCCAGCATGCTCATTACTATTTTCGGGGATATGCAATGCAATAGTTTACACATTTGCAAATAGCGTCCAATACAGCGAAAAACATTTAATGTCGTATTGTTGACGGTTACCGAAATGCAGCCTGTTAAGTCTTCACATTCTTTGCTTTGTAAACTTTTGTGTTCATCATCACTTTCTTCGCTGAAATAGCATGAAGCCTCATCAACTATACCTGATAGAATATCTTCTTCCAACATAGCTACATCCAAGCCCCCATCGAATGGTGAACTTTTTTCGCTAAAACGTAAAAAATAACCATAGGAACCATATATGGAGCTGACAGCGTCTTGAGAATGCACTGAAACTAGCTCATCACAATTATTATTACTAGTAGGAGAATGTTCCACGGATGGTGAATTAATTAACAGAACAACTGGCGGCGATTTATGCCTCCGCAAGGTATGACGGACCGAACGAAACTCCTAGTCAAATCAAATTAATTATTATTTAAATGATTTTAAAATGTAGAAATGTAAAAATTCCCTTACCGGCAATTGCAATATATTTCCAAATGAATCTACAACAGTCCACGATTCATTGTCTAGAAATAAGCATATTTCTTCCAAACAAGCGATATGGTAACGTTGAAAGAATTCCTCGCTCTGAATTTGCATAATCTCTATTAATTTGTCTGAATGCTCACCACAAAATTCTAATCCCACTTTCTTAAGTCTCTGTATGATGGATAGCACCTGAATGAATTGATCATATTTTAGGGTTTTTAGTTTAGAGCTTTGCAAAAATGTACAAATTTTTGTAAGTATATCGTTCCAAATGCGTGATTTGCCTTTTTTCAGTTTCTCTTGTATGTAAAGATCAGGTGATTCCGCTGTATCTACTGAATATAATTTGTAGTTTTGATGCCACATAACCATTTGATAATAAGATGCTAATATGGTCCAAAATGTTTTGCATAAACTGATTAAACATGGTATATATTTGTCGGCTTCCACGTTCTCGCACAACTGCTCATAAAGGTATTTCAAATTTTCATCCACATTCGGATCATTATAACCACGTATTACAGAATTTACGGAAGAATGTATAGCAGAAATGAAATGAATATGAAGCTTTATGAAAATAATAAATAACATTATTAAATTGAAAAAAGATATTGTGCAACGTTAATACTTACTTGATCCATAGCCATAAGGGATTTATTTAATAGCTTATAAGCTTCTTGGAGTTTAGCATATTTCTGCATATCGAAATTTAAGATCATCTGAAAAGTTGATTTAAGTATTAACGAACGACAAAATATTATATATATGTATATATGTATATGGTATAACTGACCTCATTAAGTACCGTATCTAGTTGATATTCTGTTAACAGTAGGGTTTCTTGCAGTTTTTTATTTAATGACTGCACGCAGTTATATTCCATAAATTCCACCGCAAAATTTTTACATCTTAATAGAAGGGAAATGGCTCCAGAGTAATTGCAGTCACTCAATAATTTTTGTACCTCGACATCAGTGGATTTCTACGTAATAAGTCCCAAAATTGAACTTTAGTTGATATTTAAATGAATAAATCCCAGAGATTCTTACTTACCAGTTTCTTTACAGCTTGCAAACTATTTAATAATTCTTTAAGAATTTCCCGTTTACGATAAGAGGCTAAAATTTCCAAACTAGTTGTAGTTAAATTTGTTCGTGCGTAGTTGAGATACGAGCGTGCTTTACGGCATGTCCATAGAGCTTGCTCCAATTCTTTTTGAGTTTCATTGATAGCAACAAATTCTTCATTGCACGCACTTCGCTGTTCTAAAATATTTTGTCTCACTTTCTTCGATAATACTTTATGTTGTTTCCGCAGTTGTGCTATTGTGGAGTTTATCAAATCGTAATTTACACCATTACCGAGTACTTTCTATTTGATTTTAATACAAAAAGAAAAAAAAAAAGAAAAAGATAAAAGGGCAAAACAAAATTACAAACACCCACTTGCAACCAAAAATAACAATAAAACAATTGAATAACGTAGTCAATGCATAAAATCACACATTATTCATATATAACCTTCAATTCTCACCTTTAATTCATACATATCCGTGTCACTTTCTACCTGGAAATATATATGTTCTATACTTTCTAAAATTTCCTGGTCAGATTTTTGTGCGTTGATTATTTCTGCATCATTTTCCGAACTTTGCGTTTTCTCTAAATTATCCGATTTTAAAGATTCTGCTGCTGTTACTGTTTGTATAAAATAATCGGAAAATCCCATAGCCGGAATTTTTACTTGACGATTGGTCTGGTAAGAAATTATTCAGAACACTTTGGAACTGTCAACAAACAAATTTTTACCTGTTTGTTTAATAAATCCATGAATTTTGTTTTAATTTCATCCATTTTTGCTTTCGGATTTTGCATCTTGTCTAACTCTTGAAGATAATGTTACCGCAACTGAAGATGAAAGACCATTTCCGATATATGATTACCCCCAGTTAGGAACACAATATATAATAAGGGGATTAAATAAGAAAATAAAAAAGAATTTTTCGAAGGGTCTCCTACATATGTTAACAAACTTCTCGTATAGAAGAAACAAAATAAACATTGAAACATTGGAACGATGTAACAATTACTTTTCGATATAGTTTGGTGAATTTTTAAATTCTTTTTAAGTGCGTTTTATAAGAAAATTCTCAAACAAAGCCCATACTGATCTATAAAATTTAGATACGATATTCCTATATGTGGAATTTTCATTAATTGTCTAAGCGAATAAATAAAACAATTGATAGTTGTTTAATTTTAACACTTAACTATAGACGTTTTCTTTAGCCGAAGTGAAACACCTTGAATAAAAGCTCGCCTACAACAATGTCCAATGTTTCTCACGCTTGCGATCAGAAAATTATTGACCACAGATGCTACACAGATGGACATAACTGGATTGGAAACAATATACTGATCAAGAATCTATGTACATTATTGGGTGTCTGAGGCTTTCTCCTGTGTATTGCGAACGTTTTGACTAAATGAATATATGCCCATATTTAGTGATGGGTATAAAGAAAAAAAACGGATTAGTTGCTCTTAACTCATTTTTCATTCATTCTTTTTCTTTAGTCCTGGAGAACTTTATCAAAATGGAATAACTTATATAAATACATGTATAATTTTTGCAAACTTCAATTTATTGCTAATAAGAACTGTAAAGAAGCCAAACAGGCCCGATTGGAAAAAGTGGATCTAATTTGAACATAGGAAATGGTAATAAAGACGAATGCTTTGCAAACACGCCTTAGGGGTAATCATGTAAAGTAGCCGACAATCGTCACCAAAATCTATTCATGTTGGCAAATCTGCTGACGGCTGTTGGCAAATGCGCTCTCTCAGGTACATCAAATCTGGAGATAATAAAATTGCTGTCGCTGAGAGCAAATTTGCATTTGCCAAGCAAAATTAGAGTCGCGTTCGTCAAAAAGCAGCTGCAAAAGATAAATATAAACAGCTGTTTGAAAATGAATTATTAATTCATATATTTAAAAAATTTCACAAAAAATTGAGTGTTTCCGAAATTAGATTTGTGAATTGTGAAGAAAAAAAAAATGTGGTAAAAGTAAGTACAATATTTTTCAAATATTATACTATTTATATGCTACTATAAATATATTTTTCAAATATTGAGTTAAATTAAGTTAAACATAGCCTAACACAAATTTTAGATAATATTCTATTCATTTCACTTTTGCATGCTTGTTATTGTTTACCATATGTAGTTTTTTTATTAAAATTAATTTGGCTCTCATTTTTTTACGTTTGTCTCAATTATGTTAATGGAAAATTTTGAGGGGAGTATAGAGAAGCTGGCGACGATGGTATCTGATTAGTCTTTTGGCGATAATCAATTGTCTCAAAAAGAAACTAAAACAACCTCCGAAAACATGGAAAATTATTTCACATTTTCGTCTATAACTTTTGATCCTGTGAATATATTTCCGATAACCTATGGTCCAGGCGTTCATACGATCGGTTCAATGTACCATCAAAATACGACTCTAATCGGTTCACTAATACGTCCACAATTGCGGTAACTAACGATATATTTCGATTTGTTAGAAATAAATCTAGTTTATTGAAAACGTATAAATAAATAATAAATAAATGAGAAATAAAACAAATGAGAATTAAATTAAAAATAAGCCGGAAAGGAAATTTGATCATTAATTGTGGACACATTCGTACACCAATCGGGACAATTTTTCCACGAACACGTGGATGGTTCACGCGAATACTTGGATAGCAGCTTTTCAGAGATATTTTCACGTGATACAATTATATGTTAAGATTTAGATTTCCCGTCATCAATGATTGAGATGGATAGAACTTAGAATCCTATAGTGACCAAATTGTAGTGAAAACAAAGTCATATTTCAAATTGTTCCTTTTTCGTTTTGTTTCGTATAGCAGAAATATCATATTTGTTTGGTACGCTGAATACAATTTACGCAGAAGAAGAAGAAGGAGGAGCAACTGTTCACCAGCAGTTAGCAAATTTAGTAAATAAACGTAAAACGATGCGAATATGGTAAGCAGAATTTTTGTTCATAGGCACAAATATTTTATTAATAGTTGATTATTATTGCTATTAGCATGGTTTCCGATTTTTTCTATCCCAGTATAGGTGGTGTAGAAGAACATATTTTTAATTTAGCGCAAATGCTCCTAAAACGAAGCCATAAAGTAAGTTCCATTTAAAAGATCTTCCAAAAATGAATTAATAACTAATTGTTTTGTGCTTCATTAAAGGTTATCATATTAACTCATTGCTATAATGATTGCAAAGGCGTTCGTTACCTTACCAATGGTCTTAAAGTGTATTATCTACCGATCAAAGTCTTTTATAATCAATCTGTGCTGCCAACTATAATATGTAATGTGCCATTAATTAGGAGTGTTTTGCTACGAGAACAAATTGAAATTGTGCATGCCCATTCAGCCTTTAGTTCCCTAGCACATGAATCTATTTTAATAGGTTCCCTGCTGGGTTTGAAGGTGAGAAATAATAAGTTAATATAAGCATTCGCTTAGACATAACATATTTTTTCGTTGATATGATGAAGACTGTGTTTACTGATCACAGTTTATTTGGTTTTGCTGATTTATCAGCCGTATTCACCAATAAAATGCTGGAGCTAGATTTGGGTGCAGTAAGCCATTGTATTTGCGTATCACATGTAGGTTAGTAATTATACTTATTAAAAAGAAAACTGATTGTAACGAAATAAAAATATATGCAGGTAAGGAGAATACAGTGCTAAGAGCAAGAGTACCTAAGGAAAAAGTATCTGTGATTCCCAACGCCGTTGACACTGCCTTTTTCATTCCAGATCCTAGTCAAAGGCCAAATGATGGTTTAAGTTAGTAAATAATGATGTTTAAGAGAGCTACAGTGGTAATAATACTTTTTTTAATTCCTTAGTAAACATTGTTTTGGCTTCACGTTTGGTCTATCGAAAGGGTATAGATTTGTCGGCTAGTATTATACCACGTTTTAAACAAATGCCACACGTTAAATTCATTATAGTAGGCGATGGACCGAAACGGGTTCTGTTGGAAGAAATACGTGAAAAAGCCAACATGCAGGACCGCGTTGAAATAGTTGGAGCAGTTGAACATGCCAGGGTACGTGATTATCTAGTGAAAGGTCATATATTTGTTAATACTTCCCTAACTGAAGCATATTGCATGGCAATAGTGGAAGCTGCTGCCTGCGGTCTACAAGTTGTTTCAACACGCGTGGGCGGTATACCTGAAGTCTTACCTGAAGATCTTATCATACTTACTGAGCCGGAGGTCGAATCAATTTATGAAGGTTTATTAAAAGCTTTAAGGCGACTAAATAATTGCAAATATAAACGTTCTACAAATGAACTTAATCGTACATCTGCGCCTAATGGCGGCGGCGATGAGGTGAGATTTCCCAAGACCAAACATAAGTCGTCTCGTAAACGTTTGAATCAGCGACTATCCAGAAGATCTAATGCATTAAGTAATTTTACCGTAACAAAAAATGCTCGAAATGAATTTACGAGCAGTGACAGTGAAAGTATCCTGTGCCCATATAAATGCAACGAACGCGTAGCTTCTCTTTACAATTGGGAGAATATTACTGAACGTACGGAGAAGGTTTACAATCGTATTATGCTTGAACCGCCTTCTAGTCTCGGTGGTATTTTATACTCTTATTTGCATGGTGATGTATGGCCTATACTTTTGGCCATTTCAATGGTACATTTGTTTTTACGATTTTTAGAATATATACGTCCTGGCCGATTTATGGAAAAAGCACGAGAATGGCCACGCAGAGATTAGATTAGGTGCTTCAGCGGAAACTAATTGTGATCATTTTTTTTCTATTTAGGCTTTCAGTAAAGTATTATAATAAAAATAAAAGCAAAAAAAATCTTCAAAAAAATATGCATACATACATATTATTCTTTAAATTGTTTTTGTATCGCCGAACTATATTTTCGTCAGCAACATGTATACATAAACTTTCGTTAGTGACAAACGTAACGAATTCTCGCTTTCCGTAGCGAAAGTAACTGTAATAAACTTTCGCATATTATTATTATTAATCTTTAAAATCGTTACTATCGAAAATATAATAAATTCTCTGTTTTAATATAAACTAAATTAATTTTTTATATAATAATTTAAATCAAGCGCCAACGAAGTTTTGCAAGAAGAAATATGCGTAGCTATTGTGGCATTTGTGGATATAACAAGTACTTTGGATGGCATTTTGATCAGAACTTATGCAGAAATCGAAGCAGCCACCAGCAAGTATATATCATTATTTCAATTTTCATTTCGAGAATTAATAAAAGATTAATTTTTGTTCCCGAGATCAATAAAAGCTGAATTTTTGTTTTTTTGTTTGTACAATAAAATGAAAAATAATAATTTTCAAAGTTTTGGTGGTTAGCCGACTACGTCGTCTTTATTTGAATCAACAGCGAGTTAACCACAAGCGAGCAGTTTATTTGGTGTATCTAATACTTCCACTTGTTTTGGTAGTACTAATACCTTCTAAAAATGCTGTAATAAACTGTAAAAGTGTAAAGGTATCTCCTCTGTGTGCTTCTTTCTCTCATTAAACATTTATTATTTTTGTCGCAAGCTATACTTTTGTGGTTGCAAGCTATATACTTTTGTGGTCGCAAGCTAAAAACGTTAAGTTTCAGTGTTGACCATTTTCTCATTATTTTTCGAAACTTGCTTAAAAATGCAATCCGCAGTATTTTTCGAGGGACACTGCAAAACCCTTGTTACTTTAGCGTTTATATAAAATGCAATAAACTTATGCTATTTTAGGAAAATTTCGTATAGAAGTTTTTTTTTGAATGGAGTTAAAAGTAAAAAAATAGCTTTGATAAACAACTAATCATCGTTTTAATTGTCAGTAATCATACTGCAGGTATAACGCTTTTCACAATCAGGTAGGCGTTTGCTTTTTCTCAAGAGTTGTCATTACTAACATTATTGAAAGAGAAAATTGCATTTGGCAAGAAAAAGAAAAATAAACAAATTGATTGCAAAACAAGTTTTAAAACCAAGAAATCGGTTAATATTCGGCGTAAAATTTAAATAAAAATAAAGCAAATACAAATGGATTTGCTAGGGTCCATACTCAATTCAATGGATAAGCCTCCCTCCGTAAATGAAGAACAAAAGAAATTGATCAAACGGCAAAAGGAAATGGCCGAAAAGTTGAAGAACAAACAAAAGGAAGAGCTAATGAGGTTTCGTAAATATGTGGAAGAACGTATTGGGCGTTTTGCCAAAGACGATCGTCCTCACATAGAATTTCAGCCGTTGGACAAAGTGCATCGTGCCGTAATACATGAAGTGGCTGAATTTGGTGGTTTCATTGCAATGAGCTTCGGATGCGAGGATGTGGATCGGTATTCGGTAGTTTATAAAAAAGAGAATGCACCCACAGAGGATGAAATAGCAGCCAGGCGAAATCGTGATGGTTGGAATGAGGAAATAGCTAAGGAATATGCTGAGAGACGTAAACAGCAACGTGAGCTGGAAAATGAACAAAAAAGACTAGCCCGTTCTTCCGCCCAAAATAGCAACAATACCACAAATAAACAATCAAACCCGGCTCCTATAACCGAGGCTGAAATCAAACCAACTTTTAACTATAAAGATAAATATGCTCATCTCATTGGCCAAGAAGCCGCTCTTGAGGCGGCTCGAAAAACCGAAACTAATCAAAGTTACGGTTTCGTGCCCAGTAAGAATAAAAAAGATGTGAGATCTATAGAGCAAACATTAGCCGATATACAAGCTAAAAAGAGGCTCAAATTACAGCAGCAGCAGCAAGAACAACAACAAAGGCAACAGGAAGAAGAACAGCAACAAAATACGCAAAATCCTGAAACACAAAAAGCAGACTCAGCTAAAAATAGTAGCCTTGCCTCGCAACCACCTACATCATCGTCAACATCCTCATCAACGTCGTACTGATGAAATACTAATGGCCATAGTAAAAGCTACAACCATCACAATATTATATTTCTGTTACTATTAATCAGCAATTATATAACACATAAATGTATGGCGATGATAAAATTCTATATATATAAGTATACATACATATAGGATCGAAATGCTTTGCAATAATTGAACTTTTAATAAAATATCATTGAAGTGAAATAAGAACAAAAAAAATCATTAATAAAAAATGAATAGTTTTTAAAGAAATTACATATATATATATATATATGCAGTATATATATATAAATACTATATGTATATATATATATATTTATATATATAGATATATAAATATATAAATATATAATATATATGCTATATATAATACTCCTGAAATATAAGTGAAAGATATGCAAATTAAATATTTTTCCTTTTATTCTTAAGATGCAAAAGCAAGAAGTGAGCCGAAGAAAATAAACATCACACTTACCTTAAGCAATACATATGTAGAAATGCATGTAAATGATATTGAAATTTTAGAATAAAACGAAATGTTTTGAAACCAATGTCAAATTTTTACTGTTTGTTATCTCAATGGCTACTATATTAGGATTCTATTTTAAATACAATCGATTTGTTAAAATTGAGATACGCTCCCTTAAGGCTTTCACAAAGAGAAAGAGTTATATGTCTCCTAATATATGTTCATGTGCACATAATATAAAATACGATTCGCAATTGACTTTGCATAAAGAATCACAAGACAAAAATTTGTCTAGATTTTATTAAGGGATCAAATTTTATTAAATTCAAAGAAAATAAAGAGCCCCATGTTATTATTTACAGTTAGCTGACACTCACTGTAAGTCAATATTATATTCAATTTGTGTAAACTATTCAATACAGTCTAGGAGGGGAATCGCATTACCTAAATAAAATAAATTAAGTATATCGTAAACAATTATAAACAAAAGAAACGTTAAGATGGTTTGATGACGAGCCAAGACCACATATGCGCTTCGCATTACTTTTAGGCAGAATGATTCTATGACGATTATAATATTTGTTTTTCGTTTTACTTTGGCTGACACTACATCAATTCTCTTAGCTTTACGCTTAATGCACGTATCAAACTGATAATTTATTATCGGTAGCGATCATTTCATTTTGGCTTCGAAGTTGTTAGTTCATCGTACCGTCTTAATTTATACTACAGTTGATGTGACGCTACTTCTGAAGATTTTACAAAACAAATTTATATACATTGTTGGTAAGAGTATAAGTTATAAGCAATCCTATGGCACTTTTATTTTTTTTTTTTATTAGTAGAAAGTCACAAAATATATTTCATGTTCTTGATCGCTCTTAATGCAGTGTACCGTCTTTACACTGGAGCTATTAGGCGAAATTAAACGATGTAGATTTAAAAAAGTTTTTCTTTGCTTCAAATTATCAAAAGATGATATCCACATGGTATCGCGTCTGTGGGTTTTAAAATGCAGTAATGAAAACCAAATTCTTATAAATTTATTCTTCTCTTTGCATGAACTTTTATATTTTTCGCGCATACAAATGTTCAGTATCATTAAAAATTTATCGAAACTTAATAAAGGATCTGTTCAAGCTTAATATGTATATACAATAACATCTAACATAGTAAATCAGTTATTTTGAAAGTGGCCCATACAATATATCATAAGATATATTGTAGGAAATTATATTTTTAAATTTCCCTTTTGTCTTAAAATCGAGAGATTTTAATAATATATGTTTATAATAAAAAAATGAAAAAATTTATTTAGGCCGTTTTCAAAATCAAATCTATTTATAGATATGTTTATTACCATTCTTCTTATTGATTGCCACTGTTAACTGACTGTATGATTTCATTAATAATTTCTTCTTTTTTTTTCTTCTAAGATAGAGCGAATGAGTTTCTCGTTGGTCCAGAACAATTAGGATCTTTGTTTTTGTAAAGGAGAAATGAAATAATAAAAGAATTTTAATGTTTATTTTATAGTTTTATGTATACAAATATTTTAACAAACAGCTTAATTCCTATATAAAAACAAATGTAATGAATTATGATATGCTAAAAAACCTTAGGTATTAAATAAACAAATATTAAGTAAATATTTAAAACTTATACTTTATTCGAATGTATTCTTACATAAATGTAAACAAAACAAAAAAAAAAAAAAAAAAAAAAAAAAAAAAAAAAAAAAAAAAAAAAACAATAACAACAACTGTACAAAATAATTCAGTTCACTATATACTTATTTAGTTATTATTAATAATTCGTTTAGATGTTCTGGCTGTTATGCGCGGATGAAAGTACAAATAATAGATGATCATAAAGCCAATACCGATGTAATAAAATGATAAAGCTAAACCGCATAAAGGATAAAATAGTATTGCAATGTTCGCTAAATCGTTAGAAGCGTACAAAATGAATAGTGTTACGCAGGCAATATTTTCGATTGTGCAGAACAAGTAATAAGATATATACTTATAACGTGTAGGAGCGTCGCGTACTGATATAAACGTGAACACATAAACAAAACCTAAGACTAGACAGAAAAGAAAATTGCTTAAAGAAGAATTGGCGAACTTCGGACGTTCAATTATGAAAGTAATGAAGCCAAATAGTAAAGCGTGACTCAGACTAGCAACTAATGTCCAAAGTGGAAATATGCTAGCCACCAAGGCTATACACAGTGTGCGGGAAACTAAAAAAAAAACAAAAATCAAATAAACATAAAAAAAAAAAAAACAAAAAAACAAACAAACAAACAAAACATTTTAAACAATATTGAGTACATTTTTCACAAAAAAAGTATGGTATATAACGGCAGATATATATGTATGTACCTGATGTACAAAAATGCCAGCACAATTGTAGAATTACACCGTTTATACTTATATTGAATTTATCACCTTGTGAGTAACGGTTGTAACGATGATAAGCTGATAAACACCAAGCCATACTGCCAAAATATGAAGATATGGCTATAATTTGTAAATCTATTAAAAAAAATATATTAATGAGAACGAAAAATTTCATGGCGAAGCGTTTATTACTCACCTGTCATTTTGTCAACATGACCTAAAACTATAGATACTTGCAATATTTTTTGAGGGGCAGCTTCCAGGAAACACTCAAATAATCTTATAAAAGCTACATCACTTTCTTCCCTTATATTCAGTTTGTAATTTCTGGAAAATAAAAGGTGAAATGAGAAACAAAAACCAACTTCCTTCGGCGAAAAAAATTATTACTTGCCTTAATTGCGATTGTTTATCGCCAATACTTTCAGCTCTTTTACATTTTAAAGCATACATTAGGGATTTCCAATAACGAAAGAAAAACGATGATACGATAACTAGCCATAGGGTTTGTAAAGTTTTGCACGCACCGTCACTAAACTTACCATCTTTATAACACCTGTTATCCATAAGAATAAGTACAATAACATTTGCATTAATCCTTTATTAGGCTTACATGTTGGCATGAATCATTGTGGTAACGAACATAGGTACCGCAATGCATGTGATAGTCCATGCAAAGTAATCCAAATGACCCTGACGATAATAGTTTGCTGCTAATTTAATGTTAATGCAAACCGCTATAGCGCGCATAACGATTGATAACGCTGTTGAGCATATTTCCCAATAACTAATGCTATGATCGCAATTGGCGCCCATGCAAGAAGGAGCGTCCACTTCAGCCCATTGCTTGAATGAGCTATTAGATTCGACTATTAGATGACGACACTGCAATGTACTCAATTCACAGATCGGTTCAACGGAGTCATTCGGTGTATTCGTTGTTCCCGAGTAATTAAGCGAAGCTTTACTTGCGGTATTGAATTGGCCACGATGCCCTGTGGCGACGCTCATTTTTGCTTGTAGATAAGATAAATTAACCGCCCGAGTTCCACAATAGCACAGCAAAGTAAATTTTTATTCGCAGAAATAGAATTGCCGTTCGCAGCGTATAATTTTTGTTTTTGTATCCATCAGCGAAGGGGTATATTCATTTTGTCAAAACGTTTGCAATGCTCGAAAGGAAGCTTCAGAGACATCGCATGTATATGTATTCTTTCTTATCACTACATTAAGTTAATTACTATATCCTTAAGAATATTTTTGTTAAAATGGAATGTTTTTTTTTCATTTATTTATTCACTCTTGTATTTAATGGCTCTGGAGGCTCTTTCATGTGGAAAGTGAAAGTTTTTCCGGACATTCATTTTTATAAATTTTAGAAATTCATTAATATATATATATATATATATATAAGAATGAAAATTTATTAATAAAAAAAAAAAAACAAAATCACTTTTGTACTTCGGTTTCGCGTAAAAATAAAGATGGAATAATCATCAGAAAACATATTTTGCACGTTCCAAATTCCGTTTGTTTCTAAGAAAGAAAGAAGTTTGCAAGCCTGTATTAGTAACGTAAAAGAAAATTAACATTCATTTCACTTTAGTTTTAGAATTTTTTCATTATCTATCAGTGACGTTGCATTGAAATGGAAATAAAGTTTTCTATGATATATGATATTAGATAAGACAACACGTTCACGGCCTTTTTTCATTAAAATTCAATCACATTTTTCGTAACTTTTAAATGAATTGTATTAAACCAAATGTGCGTCATGGGGATTTGTTTTGCCATTTTTCTGGTATAATCATTTTTTCCATACTATAGAAGTTTTGAGATTTCCGAGTGAATCGGGCGATTTTTACTTTTGATTGCAGGATACTGCACACAAAATATACGATAGTCAGATCGAGAAGGGTCCGGATTGCATCAAAACATCATCACAGTCGAACTTTCTCAATTTGTCCCGGCCCATTAAACATTTTGTTGAGTTTAGCATTATTGAGACGGCGGACGACCCCTTTCCAATTGATCGATTCTGCAGACTATTCCCCAATGACAGGTCTTGCTCACATTAATTGTCGAATTGGAAATTGATTGTCTACACAGATTGGAGCAGCTAACGACGTACCATTTCTTTCCAATCACTTCCATGTCATCAATGTAGGGGAGTAATCACTTAGCTAAATGTTAGCTTTCGCTCTTGTATTGAGCTATTCGGCAAAAACGGCTGATTGCAAAAGCGAAAGCTATATATTTCATATGGGATTATCCCCCAGGTTTTGTTATTATTTGTATAGTTTCATCTTTGCCCACGATCTTTTTGCACATTATTGTAATATAGGATACACTTGCCGTCGTCTTTTATTAACCTCATCAAAGGTGATACTTCACAAATGGGAATTGAGACCAATAAATATATATACATACAATTTTTTCTTTTGTTTTGATGTTCATGTCCTAAACTTAACTGTACTGATCCTAGTCGGTTTTTTGTAGAATTTCTTCGACTTTTGAAAAACTGAGCAAGATGAGGACTCTAGTTAAATATCCACAAATAAATATCACGATTTTTTGCAGAATTTATAAGCTTAGTCGAAGCTGTGTTGGAATTGAACTCAACAGAAAAAAAAAAAATAAATATGTTTTCGGGTACTATTACCTTGGGATTAATATAATAGCCTGGCAGTCAACAGCACCTACTAATAAAGATCGTTCTTTCATGTCTTACAGAGCTCCTGGAAACTGTTATAAAGATGACAATTTATGGGACGTTACTGCAAATGCAATGTCTCAACAAGGTATATTAAATGAGATTCCCTGAAATCTCTTTCCGGCTGAAAAGCCCTAACATAATTAGCACATTCCGAGATCCCTTCTGAATGGGAAGGACGCGAAAAGAATTATAAAACCGTCAAAACAATACGCAGCCAGCAATTCCGTCCTAAGTTTATTTTTTCTACCCCCAACTGTTTGTGGTAGTCTATGCCAAATTTGTGCAACCAATGTGCTTTGACGCAAGATCCAAGAATCCTTATTATGACGGCGTATTTTAAAAAGTCGGATTATGAAAGTTCCTTAATGAAAATCGCTGATTTCCATTTGAAATTGACGGGAGAAATTAATTTCAGTTCATGGAATAGTTGACTATATATGTGTACGTATATGTACGAATAAACAATTAAAGACATTACAGTCGGGCAAGATTGACTATAGTGCTAATTGTACTTTGTTCTTTTTGGTAATAACACACCAAAAGTTACACATTAATTACATGCAAAGACCTACTTTTCATGAAAGCTCGCATATTGGAGAATTCTTAATATATCCATACTGTATGATCCAGATTTATCCAACTTAATTTGCTTCCCAAAAATTTTGTTCTTCTTCAGTTCCCTTCATAGAACATTAGAAATTACACTTTCGCTACATATAAGGGCTTGTTTTTCATGATAATCCTTAGGGACAAAACAACAGATCTATGTGACTCAAATTTTGTACTGTCACTTTTTTGTTGTTGTTATTTTATGGTACGGCGTACGCAGGAAATATCCCCCATACCAAGCGGGTACGGAGATGATCAGGAAGGGTTATATAGTAAAGTGAAGAAAGGGAGTAATATTTGTGAACGTTTGACTTGAAAATGTTGACATCGGCAGGAAAGACCAGCCCTGGTAGGTTGTTCTAAAGGCGGACAGCGCGCTTAAAAGAACGACGAGTCGCCATAGTGTAGTCTGCAGTATGCAGATAACTCCAGGATGAGCGCTTGAGAACGCTGAGAAGACGTCTATTCCTATTGAAGGATTTAGGTGGCGGGTATATCTTTTTGAAATCTGTAGAAGGCTTGCCCTAATGTACCCGGACATAAGCTCAACATCGTTCACGTTACAGCAATTCTCAATGCTACCGAGAGTTCTAAACACACTTTCGTCGTCCATGAATACCTGAACCCTTCGCTGTAACTCCCGCTCACACCTGCGAGTTATACTGTAAAAATTTTGCTACTATGAACCAATTTTCGTTATAAAAAATTAGCAGTTAGATGTTTTTGGTATATAAAGGTCTTCATTTACCGAAAATACTTATATGCGGTGAAATCCAAAAAACAGGTCCAATATATGTATATATAAACTAAAGACTTTCGACTTTGTATTCAGCCATTTCTGTCGCAACAGCTTCTCAATTTTGCATACGTGATTACGACCCTGCTCTTATAAATGTTTACAAATAAAGACCGATTATGTATATTTAAACAATGTCGTAACCGAAATTTATCTTGAACATGGATTCATTTGTTGTTAAAATAGCGAAGGCAGGCCCATGATACGATGGTATGTATTCAACAAAGAAAGAGGGGTATATTTTGTTATATACAGCTAGATAGTAAATATATATATTAGATAGGACTTGGTAGCCGCGATGATTCGAGGGGTAAACTCAGTATAATGAGAGATAGGTATACATATATATATATATATATATATTCTTCCCATGACATTCAAAATGCAACGATTCCGAGCAAGACACAATGTAAAAACGAATTCAAGATCGATATGAAAGCAAAAATGATTCTCATTAATGCGACTCGAACTAGTAACGGCGTTATGGTAAAGGTGCGTAAATTTACTTTGAGAATTTCAAAAATTCTCATTATTTTTTATGATTAAAAAGCATATGCTAGAGTAAAACAATCATCTATCGTTTTAATATTTTGTTTTTACTTTTATTTTATTTGTATTTTTTTATTTTTATTTTTAGTTTTTTCCTTTTATTATATAATTCATGTTTTTTTTTATTTCATTAATTTCTTATATATTTTAGTTGTTTTTATTTTATTTCATTTCATTTATTTTTCTTCTTTTTTTTCTTTTTTTTTTTACTTGTAGCCGATTTGTGTTCTTTTAATCTTCGCTTCTTCATGCTTTTTATGTAACACTAAAAATATATCGGATATATAAAGAATGATAGTAATATACACACGGGCCTTGTATTTACTCATTTTGTTGTTGTTGTTGTTGCTGTTATTTGTTGTATTTGTTCTTTTATTACAAATATAAAGTGAATGTGACGGTATGCGCATTATTTATGATTGTTACTGGAATTTTATTATGTGATTTGCTTTGTGTGTTTATGTATGTGTATGTGTGGTTGTTGTTGTGTATTCGTATATATATATATATATATTATAATAAACAAACTGAATTTTTTTTTCTTTTTCAATTTATTATCATTTTTTTGTTTTTTTTGTTTTGCTTTTCGTACAATTTTACTTTTCTTTATTGTTAAATACTTGCTAGAGAAAAAGAAAATAATAAGAATTAATAATAATAATTATAATAATTAATAATAATAATAATAATTATAATAATAATTATAATAATAATTAATAATAATAATTCATAATAATAATAATAATAAATTTACATACGTTCTATATTAAACTCACCGAGAGCTTGAGATATTATTTTTTTCTTATACAAATTTTGACTTTTCTTCTTTTGTTTTATTTTGTTCTGTTTTTTGTTTTGTTTTTTTTTTTAAATTTTAATTATAATATTACTTTTTTTGTTTTTTTGTTTTTTTTTTTTAAATTAAACTATAGCTTAGTTCTAAAGTATGCTTTATTTTCAATTAAATTTTATACGCTTTATAATATGCAACATTGTTTTGTTGTGGTTGTTGTTGTTGTTGTTGTGGTATTTTCATTTCCCAAAAGTAACTAATTAAATTAATAATTTCAGTTTTCTTTTTCTTTTTCGTCTTCTTTTTCATTTTCTTTTATACTTTCATTTCTTTTTTTTTTTTTTTTTTGTTATTAATTTCAAAAATTGTTTGTATTACTGTTTTGTTTCGTTTTTATTTATTCTTTGTAATAATATACTAAAAAATAAAAATTATGTAATTTCTATGTTTGTTCTAATAATTATATATAATTTTAGGAGTTAAAAAAATATGCTGTTTTATTTATATTGCGGTTGCTCTTCCTTACATATGCGCGGCATTACCACCACTTTGTCACGTGTATACTAACAGAATAATAAAATGATTAAAGAAATTAAAAAAAAAAGATATTAAACTAATTATTAGTTATCTGCGCGTAAAAAAAAAGAAGAAAACTACAAATAAAAAAAAAACGTTACTTTAAAAAAAAAAAAAAAAAATATATATATATATATAAATATATATAAATAAAAAAGTAGTGTTCAGTTTACTATCTTGATAAAGATTTTGTTTATAGGTGAAAAGAAGAATTTCTTAAGGTTTCATAACCCAGCACTAGGTTGGTTACTTCGTTCATAAAGTGCAGGGATTAGAAGGTCATTCAAAAATGAATCGAAATGATTTTCAAATATTAATGCAAAGTTACCAAAGAATATTATAAAAAGGAAAAAAAAATATGAATTATATCCGATCAAAATCAAAATTTTAATCCGTTACAAATTTTCTTATCATATATAATTTCCTTAAGGCTATGGCCAAAACTATTGTCAATTATTCTAAAAGAGTAATAAAAAAAATATGTTTTATGAACGAGTACGATTCTTTCGATAGGTA